ACAAGGTTATATATTGATTAGCTGAAAACATGATGGGCTTATTCTCAGAAACCTACTTCTTGTACTTCCCTAGGAGTAATGCTTCAGTATGTGCTAATTTAGTGTTCATAGTGGCTTTATAGAACATAACTACCATAAAGAATGAGAATCGGTTATATTTTGTGGGTAGAGGGGGTACCAATTATATATGGAGTCAGAAGGTGTGGATTATAATCCTAGGTCTGCAACTGCTCTCACCTGTCCAGGTCTCAACTTCCTTGTTTAAAAATGGGAATAATATTAGTATCTGTTGTGGACCCAGGGAGTTACAAAGGATGTATCAGAATTACCTCAAATGTACTTTTTTAAGAAATAGTTCTGCCAGATGTGGCGGTGCACTATCTGTAATACCAGTACTCAGAGAGGCTGAGGCAAGAGGATCACGAGTTTGCAGGCTACACAATAACACCCTGTCTCAAAAAAAAAAAAAAAAAAGCAGAAGTTCTTATGCAAATATCAGTAATATTCTTTAATAAAAGGTGCTAGGAAAAATGAACTGCCACATGCAAAAGAATGATACTGGGCTAGAGGCATGGCTCAAGCAGTAGAGTACCTGCCTAGAAAGCACAAAGCCTTAAATTCAACCTACAATACTCCTTACCACAAACAGAATGACATTAGTTCTACATCTTACAGCATATACAAGAATCAACTCAAGATACATAAAAGACATAAATCTAAGACCAGAAGAAAACATAGGGAAAAGCTCCTGAATACTGGTCTTGGCAAAACATTTTGGGTATCACACCAAAAGTCACACCACAAAGAAAAAAATGAACAAATGGGAAAATATCAAACTTCTGCACAGCAAAGACAACAATTAATAAAATGAAACAGCAGCCTACAAATTAGAAAAAATATTTGCAAACCATGTATCTGATAAAGGATTAATGTCAAGCCAGGTGGGTGGTACATGCCTGTAATCCCAGCTACTCAGGAGGCTGACGCAGAAGACTACAAGTTCAAGGCTAGCTTAGGCAATTTAGTGAGACCCTGCCTCAAAGTAATAGTAAAAAAGTATTGGGGGTGTGACTTAAGTGGTAGAGTGCTTTCCTAGTAAGCACAGGCCCTGAGTTCAAACTTTAGTATTGCCAAAAAAAAAAAACAGGGGGTGGTGGTGGTAAGGGGACTGGCAGTATTAATTCAGTGGTACAGCATTCACTGAACATGCATGGTATCTTGGGTTTAATATCCAGTACTGCATTTAAACAAAAAAGGTAACATCCCAAATTTACAAAGAACTCATAAAACTCACAAGTAGGAAAACAAGTAACACATTTAAAAATGAGTAAAAACCCAGTATGTATTTCTCCAGGGCTGGCAGAGTGGCTCAAGCAGTATGACAATCTGCCTGGCAAGCATGAGGCGGAGTTCAAACCCCAGCACCTCCCAAACAAACAAAAAACAAAACAAAAAACCAAGCATTTCTTCAAAGCATAAAAAATAGCCAGGAAGTAAATTAAAAGGTACCCAACAATCACTATCAGGAAAATGAAATCAAAACCACATGCCATGCCATCTTGTACCCTTAAAAAGGGCTATTATCTGTCATAGAGTCAAAAAATAACATTGTAGTGAGGATATGGAGAAAAGGGAATCCTTGTATATTGCTGGTAGGACTTACATTGGTGCTACCACTATGGAAAACACTCGGGAGGTTTCTAAAAAATCAAACAGAGAACTACCAATATGACTCAGAATCCCTCTTCTGGGTATACACCCAGAGAAAATGTAATCACTTTCTTGGTAAAGACTCGCATGCTATGTTCACTTGCAGCATTATTCACAATAGCGAAAATATGGAAATAACTCAAGTTTCTCTGGATGGACAAAAGGGCAAAGAAACTGTAAATAATACACAATAGAATATTATTCAGTCCTAAAAATGAATGACATCTTGTCACAATATGGATGACCCTAGAGGGTGTGATAAGTGAAATAAGTCAGACACAGACAGAAAAGTATTGCATGATCTCACCAATGTATGTAATTTTTTAGAAAATCAAATATACAGAAAGCTGGAAGTGTGGTTCAAGTGATAGGGCACTTGTCTACCAAGTGCCAGGCCCCAAATTCAAACCACAAATATACAGTTACAGAACAAAAACAGTTACCAGGGGTCTGGGGAATAAGGAATAGGGAGAAACAGGTCAAAGGTTACAAAGCAGATATATAAAATGAACAAGTATATAGATTAAGAGCTAATGTACAATATAAAGATTATGAAATAAAATTATACTGTATTTTGGATTCAGGCTAAATGAAGCCTAAACAGGCTAATGGTAAGCTACTTTTGCCACAAAAACAACAAAAAATGAGGAGCTATGAGATGATGGATGTTTATTATTTTCACAACAGTAACTTTATTATCTGGATGACTCCTATAATCCTGTGTTGTATACATTAAATATACACAATATTTATTTTTAAAATATCAACAATAAATTTATATCCCCTATACTTAGCACTTAGCCAATTTCAAGGTATTTTATATACATTTCATGATTCTAGACCTACAGGTTTCATTTTAATATCTGTAGACTTTGGGTTCTAAGAAAATTATAATGTACAATTATGATTTGTAATGTTTTTTCTTCTTTCTTCGTGGAGTACAGAGACTTGTGTCTCTTACCTACAATGGCATCTTAAAATAGATGAAATACAGTATCTTATATCCATCCCCCTGTATGAGTGCTCTTAACTTATAGGAGACTGTGCAGTCTAAATAAATGAGACTACCCCAACCTGACACTCTCCTCCCTGAGAAATTCCACCCATCGCTGCCTTCCAATAAATCTCTCAGCACTTTCTACTCCTGATCCAAATCTTTTCCTTTTGTGGCCTTTTTCGTTTAGCCTATTTCCATTTCTTTTGAAGAGATTTAACTTTTTAATAGACTTGTTTCTACTGTGATGATCAAATACAAAAGGAAAGGTGCCAGTGCCATTTCCTTGTGGCCACATAGTGAATGGCATGCAGCTGCAGCAACTCTGAGAAGAACACTTCCCAAAAGACTCTGGCCTGCAAGTAATGGGTCGTCACACCTAATGCATAACACCAGCCCCTCAGGTGGGGCCAGAAATAATGCCCCTCCCCAACATGGTTTTGCAAAGGTACAATACCTTACTTTCCCTCTTTTCTAACTGCTCAAGTGAAATCATTTCTTCTTACAGACTGATAAGCTCTTTTAATAATTACTTCAAGAACTGTTCCCAAGTATGAAGGTTTTACTTTAGGAAAGTGACAGAATCTCCAAGTTCCTCACCAGCACTCCATTGGAGAGGTAGAGAAGAGACCAGGGGGCTGGTTATCTGAATTTTGTCTGCAGCACTTACTCCCCTTTCTCTCAGCCTTACTCCCTCTGATGCCCACTGAGGGCTGCTCTCTTATACTCATCCATCCTGGATGCCTAGCTGTAAAAAAAAAAAAAGATTCCCAACATACGGTAGCTTCTACACAACAGTCAGGTCTCACCCCTGTCAGAATAGCCATCATTAGCAACACCACCACCAACAGGTGTTGGCGAGGATGTGGGGAAAAAGGAACCCTCTTACACTGTTGGTGGGAATGTAAACTA